AGCATTCCACTGGCAGGGAGATTAGAACCCAGTTTTCTGAAAACATGTGAAGTGGGAAGGAGGCATTCTGTTTTTCTTTGTCCTGGCTGTTATCTGGGAGGTTCTGGTCTCAGAGTCCTTGCTGAGTTGTGCTGTCCTGCGTGAAAGAAGACCGGGAGGTAAATCCCAGCTTCTCTTCCCAGAGTCCCAGCAAAGTGCTGCAGTTCTGGACACCTTCCCGGGCTCATTCTTTTCCAAACGAGGAATCCTGAGATCCAGCCTATAGTATAAAATTACTCAAATTCCAGTCTCCCTTCCAGAAAATGGATAGAGTGGAATACATTCCGCATTGCTAAGTAGTAGGCACATGCCACTGCTCCCTCCATGGAGTGCACAAATGGGAGTCTAAGTACCAACTGGTAATCTCACGTGGTTTCCTTCTCCACTCTGCACACCTGGGGGGGGGGGGGGATGGCGCACAGAATGGGGTTCCCTGGTCCTAAAAAGAGTGGATGAGACTTGAACTGGCTGGCTCTCAGGAGGAAGAGCCAAGCAGGTTCATTGCGAATTCCTTTATGAGAGATTTCCCAGGGGAAAAAGCAATTGGGAACTAAATACCATTCTGAAGTTCTTTTACGGATGCCAGTGGGGCTCTTGCTTTATTCTTCAATGACATTCATTTGCACAGCAGATGCAAAATAACTGTCAAATTTTATAGTAAGAAAACGATACTGTTCTTTAGCATCTTTCTACTCATTTTGCTGATATGATCCAAATCTAGTTCTGCATGAGTCAACATGAACACAGGATGAACGTGAAGAGCAGTTCAAGGTTTACAATTGAATCCTGTGTCTGTACCATTGGTATGAAGGGCCTGCGTCAGGGATGTTCAAGGTCAAAGGGACTCATGCTTCACTTGGCATTATGCCCTCACCCTTATATCCTGAACGCAGTTTTCACAAACATGGAATCTGCAGTGTGCACAGTGAAATTGAGAATTCCACAGGAGCCCAATTCCTTACATCTTAATTTAGACAGATACATACACAGAGAAGTATAACATGATGTGAATAAGTATGTATGATAGTATTGGGATAAACAGGGACCCTCAATGAGCACTTAGCCAGCAGCTCAGCCTGAGGATGTCAAGATTACTTAATCCAGGAGGTGCATCTAAATGAGTTGTTGGATGGTGAATAGTGGTTTACCCAGAAGAGAAGGAGAGGAGGGTGTGTGAGGATTTGAACATGACCCCAGTGACCTTTGCTCTCCTATAATCTTCTCCCATTAAGTGTGGGTAGTACTTGTGAATATAATGAGATGTGATTCCCATGATTATATTATTGGTAAAAGGGATTTTGCAGCTATAATCAAGGTCCCTATCAGTTGCAGTAATCAAAAGGTTTTTCTGGGTGGGCCTGGTGGAATCACCTGAGCCTTTAAAAGGGATTGGGACTTTTCTGGAATCAGAGAGTTTAGAAGGGCCTGTAGAGGGGGACATGTGTCAAGGACCTGAGAGAAGCTTCTAGGAGCTGCTAGACAACAACTAGAAGGACCAAAGGAACCTGGGTTCTCAGCTACAAGGAAGTTAATTCTACCAACAACAATAGCTAAAAACCTATCAAGTTCCTCACATAAAAATAAATGGGTGTAAGCAAACTTACATGGGGTATAACAATGGTTTAATTCCTCTTGTGGGTGTATATACATTCTGTGTTCACAGCATAGCAATTTGGCTGATTCATGACACTATTTTCAGGCAAAGTGGATAAAGAATACATAAAGTGGTACTCCATCATTCATCTTATCTAATCCCCTGCCTGTAGACAGAGCATGTTATTATCCCCATGAAGTAATAGAGGTCAGGGAGGCCAACTCACCTGCCCTCAGGCGATCAGCAGAGGGCAGAGTGCTCCATGCTTCAGCTCCCCGATTCTCCTGTTATTTCCTGGAGAACAGGCCAGGCAAATGGTCACACTGAGAAAGGTAGGAGGCCTGGGAGTTACAAGGACAGGGTCACAGGAGAAATCCCGGGGATGGGAATTTCCCCAGATGAGTCTGGAAACAATGTGGGTCACCCAGTATTTCATTCCGAGTCTTTGTCATATTGAACATCGAGTCTATTGTATAATTTTACCCGATTGGAAAACATCTCGTTTCTTAACATGGAATAGCTAGCTAGCTTTGGTTCAGTCCCAACAGTTGTACAAAATAGACTCGGATGCAAACCTAAAGAACTATGTTCCGTGTTGCTGTTGTATTGTTTTCATTAACCCAGAGTTGAGATTTAATTGTGCCTCCGGCCCTAGCAACACTTGTGTGCCTGCTGGCATAGTCCCTAGAAACCCAGATGTTGCATGTTAATAACATGATAACCATTACTGTCATGGCTTCCTGTAGCATTTTTTTGTTTGTAGATGATCTTTAAAAACAAATAAGAAAAAAAGCTTCATTATTTTAGGTCCTTATGTAGATGAAACATTTGTTTTTGCACTTGACTGTTGTCAGAAACACAGTGGTTGAAACAGAACAGAATGGCCCATCTCCTGGGGTCCTCCCGGGCCCCCTCTGAAGTGCCCAGAACATGGTGCAGAGCAGGGACATGCCACACGGAGGGGACTGATCAGGATCCACCTCCTGGAAGTAGGGTGAAAATATGTTCACTTCTGCAAATAATACCTCTTGGGTTTCCACTTACATTCAAACCTTTTGAGGATCCTGGGGAAATACCGCAGGAGCAGTACTTCTGATCCCTGTGAATTGAGGATTTGTTGCGCTGGAAAAAGAATCCATCCTGTGGGGGTGTCGACGGCAGCTGGCAGGGTACCAGGAAGGGGGAAGGATTACAAACTGGGCCCTGGGCCCTGGCCCCAGTTGGATGGGATTTCAACGGAGTGTGGTATTATTTTTCCTTTATGTTGAGCTGCCTTTTGGTTTTCTTCTCTGTTGGGATGTGAGGGGAGCACACGGCCCAGGCCTGTGCCGTCCATGTGTCTGAGAAGGGCCCCATGGCTATCCACTCTAGACATGCGTCATTTTCCCAAGGCCCCTAGGAGCCCGTCGGCGTTGGTGGTTTTCCCAGGTGTACTAGGAAATGGTGTGTTCGAAACACTAGAAACTTTAGAAAGGCTTCTCTTTGGTGGATCATGCTATTCCTGGGGAGGACTATGGGATTTATAAAAGCAATCAACATTTTGGATGGGATTCCAATATGAGGCAACACAACCAGCTACAATCTGGTCTAACCCTAACAGAACGTTACATCATCATCCACTTGGGAATTTGCTGTTTACATGTGTCTGCTCCATCATGTTCTAACCTCATCCAATTGGCCACACACAGGAAAAGCTCCCAATCACTTCCGTGCAAGCACAGTGTGCAGGAAGAGTCCTGCTGGGTGCCAGCTCTGCCATGGAGCTCAAGTGCCCTGACAGTGATTACCACATCTTTCCCCGGTGCTGACCTGACCTCAGGGAGAGGCTCTCCCAGAATCCCACAGAGCTACCATCCCACAGGCTTCTTGCTGAGATTCTGCAGAGTCATGCCTCTGTCAAACATAGAAAGAACCACACCCGATATCAGGGGCTCTTTTTATTCATAACCTGGCCTTACTCTAGCTGTGGCCTCAGGTTACTAGGATGGCTGGTAAGATGTTTCCTACATCTCATAGGATCTGGGTGATTGGGTGAGAGATATCTGATACAGTTTTTGAGATGTTGCCAATTGTATGCTGTCCTTCAACTCTCCATGGTCACCTGAAAATCCGGACATCAAATCCTATCTAATAAAAAGGTAATATGCAAATTAACCATCACTCCAACACATAAGATGGCTGCCCCCATGTGGTCAAATATGACCACCCCCATGTGGACACAAGATGACTGGCAAGGGAGGGCAGTTGTAGGCTATCAGGCCTGCAGGGGAGGGCAGTTAGGGGCGACTAGGCTGGCAGGGGAGCAGTTAGGCATCAATCAGGCTGTCAGGGGTGTGGTTAGGGGGTAATCAGGCTGGCAGGCAGAAGGGGTTAGGGACAAGCAGTTAGGCAGGCAGGTAAGTGGTTGAGATTCAGCAGTCCTGGATTGTGAGATCAGGCCTAAGTCAACAGTTGGACATCTCTCAAGGGGTCCCATATTGGAGGTGGTGCAGGCTGGGCTGAGGAACCACCCTCTTGGCCCCCCGTACATGAATTTCATGCACTGGGCTTCTAGTAGCCTTTTATTGGTGGTGTTTTTGAGAAACTAAAGATAGGAGGCCTGTAGGGCAAAGAAAGAAAAGAAAGGGAGAGAGAAATAGCTGGAGACCATGAGACATAGAGAAGAGATGGAGAATTCAGTGGAAGCAAGAAATGATAGGAAAGCCACCACGAGGAAGATAAACCCTCAAATACTTCTGAAGTGTACTGAGCAGGGTACTAGAATCCTCAGTAGGAAGCATGGGGCTGCAAGCTCATTCTCTTCAGTAACTGGGAGACCCTAAAAGCTTAGAAGATGAAATCAGACAGGCAACAGATATGTAGTTTGTCCTTCTCTATTGTTCAAAGCTTTTGCCTCTCAAAGCCCCAATTCCAATGTCATTTCCTCCGGAAACTCACCTCCACACCTGGGTTAGCATGAAAGGGGTTTCTCTGAAGATGTTCTGCAAAGTTCCATGGACAGGAGCCTTATTCCTTGGAGGGTCGGAGGTGGGATGGGCAAGGACCTTGTGGGCAGCCCTATACAATCAACAAGTCACCCAATTTTGCATCATTCCAAAGTAAAAACATAATTGCATCAAAAGTGTCTTTCATGGAGGACAGGTTGGTTTACAGAGTGTCATCATGGCTTTGAAAAGGATCATGGATTCATTTCATTATTTCCCCTGAAGGGAAACTTGAACTCTTCCTGTGCCACGGGGCACTTCCCCTCACCCCCACCCCATCCAAGGGTGTTCCCAACCCACAGTAACTTCTGAAAGATGACCCTGCATTCCACAGATGTCAGATTATAAATATACAGCTGACCTTTTTGTTTTTTTCCTTTCAGGAAAGAACTCCCCATTTCACCTTCCTGAGCAGTGGAATCCGTGGCTCAGAAACAGCGGCTGCCCATGAGCCGTCAGCTCACAAATACATTCCATGGCTTATTTGCGGAGGGAAGTGTCCTCTACCTCTTGACCTTTCAGATAGCTAGTGAAAGCAAACAGGTAAGCCTTTCCTTTTTCTCCTTCTAACTAAACAGGAAGAAAGTGGTCCCTCCCTGGCTTGGCTGGGAACCAAACGCAGGGGTTTCACGGCCATTCCTAAAGGATCACGGCTCAGATGACGGGGACAAAGTCCTGGTCTGGTCATGGCCAAGGTGACACTCCTGGTGTCTTCCTAGAAACCACAGCAACCGTGGCCAGGAGAACCCCGATCCATTCAGTTTTGTGTGTACTGTAACCTTGCACCTTTCTGCCTGTAAATCAGCGTCGTTTGAACGTTCACCACATCCTTTTTCTGTCCGGGCCTGTGAAACTGCTTCCTTTAATCCAGCAGATAGATGCCTGTGGTTTCAGAGCTCTGGGATGTTCCATTCCGCGAGCCACATGCGTGTGGTTAGTTAATGACCTGGTTGTCTACTGAGGTTTGTGACCAGGGATTGTTGCGAAGCTCTACCTGACTCCTTTCTCCTGCTGGAGAAGATGAGACCATTTTTACCGTATTAGTCATGCTGGGCTTTTTCTTCCTTTTTCTTTTCTTTTCTTTCTTTTCTTTTTATTTTTTTAATATTACGCAGGAAATGTTCCTCTCCAAGAGCACATAATTTGGCCAATAGCAGCTTCCTAGGTTCTGAGCCACCTCACCACCTCCCGTGAGTTCTCCAAGATAAAGTTTGCAATAGCGCCGTTTTAGCGGTGGGAATGTCACCACGTTGCACAAACTCCAGGCATGCCTTGGCATCCCAGTCACTCTGCAAATATTTACTGAGCAGAGTTCACTGGGGTCACTGGGATGAACTGGAAGGTTGTTATTCCTCATGCCTAGAGTTTACCATGACCCACACCGAGTCACACAAGCACTGTTTTGTTCTTCAGCGGGCATTTGGGTATTGAGTGCTGAACACAGCAGACCAGGCAGTACCACTTTTCTTGGATTAAAGGGTTGGCGATGGCAGTAGCAATGGAGTTGGACACGCGATCCAGGTGGCTGCTGTTTGGGGCTGAACTTCACCCCTTTGGCATTGGAACATCTCAATGCACAAGCCAGGCTTCCAGTGCTAACAGCTTCACAAACAAGACCAAGTTCAACTGTCTACAGCCTGTCAGATAAGCAATCCAAATCTGAGGCTGTCTATGTATTTCAATAGAGCCAGTTGAAAAGCAGAGGGTAAAGGAGAGAAGTGTCATAGAGGACACAAAGCTATTGTTTGTCATTGGTGTGTCATCCGTGATGATCAGCCTTATGAGTCAGTTTAGCTATGCGATGGCAGCAGTCACTCAGCCAAACTCCCATCTACGTGTCGGTGCGAGGGTATTTTGTGACGTGATGAACATCTGCAGTCGTTGGCTCTATGTAATGGAGATTTCCAGATGTTCTGAGTGGCTCTGCTCTAAGTCATTGAAAGGCCTTGAGGACAGAACTGAGGTTTTCCTCTGGAAGCATGCAGTCCACCTGTGGTTTGGAGCAGCGGTCACCAACTGGTGGTCCGTGGAACACTGGTGGTCCGTGAGGTCCGAGAGGTTGGAGACCACTGGTCTGGAGCATCACTTATGCCTGAGAGTTTTCAACTGACCTCCTTGCTAGCCTGCCCCACAGATTAGGACCTGCCTAGGCAGACCATAATTGCAAAAGCCAAATGCTTACAAATATCTCTCTCTCCCCCAAATAAACTGTACTCACTTTAAATGATTATAAAGTCAGTATTTATTAACATACAGTTCATTTTCAAAATTAAGTGAATTATTAGAGTGTGTATACAATGCTCTATGTATTTAACATAATATGTTACATATAATTACTTATATATGATGAATACATTATGTTATATATAATTAATATTATTAATATATTGCTGTGTATTAATATATCTCCTCCTGGTTCTGTTGCCCTCAGGGATACAGATATATCCTCTCATCATTAGCCTAGAGGTAGTAAACCACCAGCTTGATGATTTTTTTTCTTTTTCACTGAATCAAATATCAATGCCCAAAGATAGTATGTAAAGTTAGCAGTGACCCTCACAGCATGTCAACACCAGAACTATACAAAATTTTCCATCTGGTCTCAACACAAAAGCCAGAGGTGTCCTGCTAAAACATGGATAAGATCTCATCACTTCACCATTTAATAGCCTGGCTGATTTCCTCCCACACTCGGTCAATGCCAGGGTCTCCATGTCAGCCTGCAGACCTGCAAGATACAAGCCCTGCTCAATACCCAAGGGGGCATGTCACCCTCTGGCTTCTGTGCTCCAGCCACACTGGGCCTTTCTCTTCCTCATAGAAGCCAGTCACATGCTTTATTCAGGGCCAAGTCTTTATTTTCTGTTACTTGATTTTCCTTTCATTATAGCCCTTATAACATATTCCATATTCAATGCTTTGCTCAAAATCGATCTCCTTTAGAAGGTAAAATTCCATGAAAGCAGGAACTTGTGTTTTGTTCTCTGCTGTGTGTCCCCAGTACACCCACAAATTAGGTAACCTGTTGATATCTGTTGAATGAACGGATGGATGGGTGAGCTTCATTCAGTGGGAAAGTCAGCCAAATATGGAGGTGGGTGTCATTTAGGTAAAAAGATTGTGCTGGATTTCAATTTTCTCTCAGGTATTTTTCTCTACATAGATACCGTTTCAAAGGACATTGAATTGTGATTGAAGTGTTTTCAGTTGCTTCCCACCCTGAGCTATAGACACCCTATTGGAGAATGATCTGAATTTTCCAAAACAGCTTGATACTTTTCTACAGATTTCCCACATGGTATAATCTGTGTTTTTTTTTTAAAAAAAAACAAAACAAAACATTTTTATTGATTTCAGAGAGGAAAGGAGAGGGAGAGTTAACAACATCAATGGTGAGAGAGAATCATTGATCAGCTGCCTCCTACATGCCCCCTATTGGGGATCAAGCCACAACCCGGGCATGTGCCCTTGACCAGAATTGAACCCAGGACCCTTCAGTCCACAGACAGAAGCTCTATCCACTGAGCAAAACCAGCTAGGGCCCACAGGGCATTCTCCTGAAGAAAGGGTATTGTTTCATCTCATGTCCATGTACAGTGAGCTCTGGAACAGCCCATAATTTTACACTGAATATTGCCATCCGAAAGGATCTCAGCATTCCACCATTATTTATTAGTTCCTACATTTACTGCCTTTTTACAAAGCTCAAAAAACAACAACAACACACAGGTGAAACTTAAAACAGTTCAATTAAACATCAGATGGGTGGTTCTGATCAAGCTGGCACAGTGCCAGGGCATTCCGAGATTCTCAAATAGCATAATCTAATTAATTTTTTTCTAGAACACAGAGGTCATAAACACACGGTAATCTGAAACACTCGCCGCCCTGCCAGCTGGCATCTTCTGGTTTCCAGCTTCCCTGCACTGTAATTTTGCTCCCCGTTGTGAGAAAGCACGGATTTCTCCATTTTGGTGGATTGTATTAAGTTGCATGCTATTCAGTTGAGGTATTTTTTAATGAACTGATTACACGTTGGTTAATAATAGAACATTGCCTCAACCGTCAACTGTCGAATATCCCTTGTAAAGAAATTACTTCAGTCTTGCAGTAGGAGGGCTTGGGAATAGGATCGACCTGTGAAAACAATATGATTACCCAGGAGTGAGTTTATTGAGTTATAAATTAATGCCTCTGGATTGGAGTAACAACATCCACAATAACAGTGCCTACCAAACACAAATTTACATGTTTCCTACCAAAATAATGTTTTCTATTGCTGCTGTCCCTGTTTAGCAGTGAATAATAATGAAAAGGTCATGGCTGGTACTGGGTAGGCTTATAGCTTTTAAGGTGGTAGAGCTGGTTCTTTCTACAATGTTCAAGTTAGCTCCTAATTCTTCCACTTCTAATCATGGACCTGATGGACCTCATTCCTTACTGTGCACACATCAGTGGCGTTCTTGCAGACAATAATGAGCTTCCTTTGAAGGCAGCATTTGTATTCCCAGATGTGCTGGCTCTGGACCTGTTTGTCCTTAGCGCTGTTCCTCATCCTCACCTGCTCTGCTGTGCAGAAAAATCCGACCCCCTATGGGCTGGTTTCCCAACCTCCAAAGTCAACTGACTCCCGACTGGGCTCAGGCCTTGGGAAAGAAGCTCTTGCAGGAGATTGGGGGTGTACTTAAGGGAAGACTAGGTCAGGGCACCTCTCTCTGTGCTTCCGATGGCATTTTTCGTAGCAGCAGCTTCTCTCCTTCCCTCCTAGTACACCCCCGAGACACCCTGCATCCAGCTCAGAGCTGACAGCCTCTTCTTGCCTTTGCTGACTTCTGGGTTGCCTCGCTGTCTCATTAGACTTAGCTTTTCTATCACCAGCATAACCAATCCCCTACATTGTTGTCCTACTGCTCTCAAAATTCAGTGGCTTTTATTTCCTGATAAAACCAGAGGCTAGGTCCATGTTTCATTCATTTCAGATGCTGATTGCTCAACATTTTTATGACATCCTTTGAAGTAGGATCGCCTACAAGATGTTTTCTCTTCCCCTTTGAAAGAGCATTTTGGATTTGAGAGAGGAAGAGGAATGGGGGAGGGTAGTTGTTTATAAGGCATTAGCTCACTGTATCCCGGAGTCCCATTTTTCCTGCACAGCAGGGCATGCATTCCTGGTGAGGTCATACACACCTGGGGACATGATGTCATCTTGCACATTGTGTTACAAACAGGTTTAATAATGCATTGTTGCATCTTAAACCTCGAGGTGGAGTGCTCCCCTCCAGCCACCAAACCCAGGGCCCATCTGGTAGACATGTTAGCCGGCGACCCCAAGAGCCCAGCCTGTTTCTCCCCGTTGAGATAGAGCAGAAATGACTCCTGCAGATTGAACGCTCAGTTTTATGACACAGCGATGATGTCATGACTGTGTGTGTTTTTTCTGTTTCTCTTCTTTCTCTGCCTTTTTTTTTATTTCTCCTTCCTTCCTCCTCCCCCTCCTTCCTGCGCTTCTCGAACCTTCCCTGAGATCCAGTAGCTTTAAAAGA